AGGGGAAAAGAGAAAAGCAAACAAACAACAAAGAAAATCCATGAAGCAAAGAGTCTCTAAAAGTGACGTTTGTTTGAACTACTTTGCATAACAGAAACGCGATAAACAGGAAGTCGTCAACTATTCAGCATTAGAACCGTCCATCAGTGTTGTTCCTTCATCATCAGCAGCTGTCTGACTCAATCCCACAATAAACACGCACTGTGTTTAAGAAGAGGACGTTGTCATGGTGACGATACTCATTGATTTGTGGAGTGATCATTTAAAAACTTGGATTTGGCAATTACGCTGTTGTCATCTCGTTTTTATGCAACCAGTGAACAGGAAGTGACCATCAAAGGACTGAGGAGGTCACCATGTACAGACCTGTCAATCACTGAGAAGCCCCGCCCTAAAGCGTCTTAAACTTTATAGTCTGTTTGACTCTGAATGGACCATAATTCACTAAATGAATGTTGTAATGTTGTGTTGAAGAAGACTTGAAACTAGAGACTGAGACATAAACTCGTGTTTACAATGTTTACTGAGGGAATAAATCAAGAGAGAAGTAGAGTCATTTCCTCATAGACGTCTATGGGAGCAGAGGAGTCGCCCCCTGCTGGTCACTACAGAGAAGTAGAGTCATTTCCTCATAGACGTCTATGGGAGCAGAGGAGTCGCCCCCTGCTGGTCACTACAGAGAAGTAGAGTCATTTCCTCATAGACGTCTATGGGAGCAGAGGAGTCGCCCCCTGCTGGTCACTACAGAGAAGTAGAGTCATTTCCTCATAGACGTCTATGGGAGCAGAGGAGTCGCCCCCTGCTGGTCACTACAGAGAAGTAGAGTCATTTCCTCATAGACGTCTATGGGAGCAGAGGAGTCGCCCCCTGCTGGTCACTACAGAGAAGTAGAGTCATTTCCTTATAGACGTCTATGGGAGCAGAGGAGTCGCCCCCTGCTGGTCACTACAGAGAAGTAGAGTCATTTCCTCATAGACGTCTATGGGAGCAGAGGAGTCGCCCCCTGCTGGTCACTACAGAGAAGTAGAGTCATTTCCTCATAGACGTCTATGGGAGCAGAGGAGTCGCCCCCTGCTGGTCACTACAGAGAAGTAGAGTCATTTCCTCATAGACGTCTATGGGAGCAGAGGAGTCGCCCCCTGCTGGTCACTACAGAGAAGTAGAGTCATTTCCTCATAGACGTCTATGGGAGCAGAGGAGTCGTCCCCTGCTGGTCACTGCACAGAATGCAGCTTTAACACATGAAGCTTTGACTTCACTTTTCAGAATTGGAGGTTTCTTTATGTAAATAATTCTATTAATAAAATAAATGATTAAAGTGACAATTGTGACAAAGGAACAGGAAAATGAGAAATCGTTTGTTTTATGATTCTCTGTCTCCAGATCTGATCTCAGACCTGTTGGGTTCAGAGAAGTACAAACTGTGCTGGCAGACTGCCCTGGACTCTGTGCAGGACCCCTACGTTAACAGGTAAACACACACACACACTCTCTCAAAAGGCAAACCATTCAAACCTTTCCATCTTTAATGATTTCACATTTTAGATTTGATCAAGTGACAGAATTTAGTTTCAAATGAGTTCCACTCGATTAGAGCGTGAGCGACTCTTTCTCAAACCTCGACTCTTCATTTTCATTTCACATTAACGGTCAATTCTGGAACCTTGAATAGTGAAGTACGGCCCTTCATTCAGTCCTTTCTCCCCTCAGACACCTGCTCTACTGCCTCTTGGACCTCCTGCTGGAGTTCCTGGTTCCTGAGCTGCCCGAGGAGGACTTCCAGTTGAGCCTGCTGCGGACCTTCTCCAAGAACCCTGAGAAGCTGCTGGTGTGATCTACAGTTCCAAATGTTCTGATTGAAATTAGGAGGAATTGTTCCATTGGGAGTCCACATGCGTCGTTTTGAGGTTCATGCAGTTATTCTTTGACCGAGTGGAGCTGCGTCTCATTCCAACTTGTAAGTAAAAGAAAAGAAGCTGTTGATGTTTCCGTCGTTCCGGGATCTCGGCCCTTAAACCTTCGTGTTCCCTCGTGATTCTGCCTATTTATGAACTATTTATGTGCTGGATTCACTCCTCCACGGCGTCGCAGAGGAGCGTCCCGCTGCAGGACGTGCTTGTTGCTGCGTCCCGCCTTAATGCCTCGATGGCGTCAGGTGTTGAAGCGACCCGTTGCCTTGTGATGAATGTCGAAGCTGTTATTTGTTGTGAGGCGATTGTTGACGCTGATGAAGGAGCTTCATGCACGTCGCTGCGTGAAACAGAAGAAAGACTCTGCACGTATTGAACCACTAGAAATATGCTCTTATAATCAACATCAACCTTTCTTGCTTTAAGTAAAACAATTTATTTTCATTTTCTTGTGATTAACAGCCAACAAAACCATGTTTTCTCATTTAAACTAGCAATTTCTAGTCAACTTCTTTCTTTTGTTGCTTCATGATTCAATGCTTCATGTTTCGTTGCTTCATGATTCAATCCTTAATGTTTCGTTGCTTCATGATTCAATGCTTCATGTTTCGTTGCTTCATGATTCAATGCTTCATGTTTCGTTGCTTCATGGTTCAACGCTTCATGTTTCGATGCTTCATGGTTCAACGCTTCATGTTTCGATGCTTCATGATTCAATCCTTAATGTTTCGTTGCTTCATGGTTCAACGCTTCATGTTTCGATGCTTCATGATTCAATGCTTCATGTTTCGTTGCTTCATGATTCAATGCTTCATGTTTCATTGCTTCGTGATTCAATGCTTCATGATTCAATCCTTAATGTTTCATTGCGTCATGTTTCATTGCTTCATGATTCAATGCTTCATGATTCAATCCTTAATGTTTCATTGCGTCATGTTTCGTTGCTTCATGATTCAATGCTTCATGTTTCGTTGCCTCATGATTCAATGCTTCATGTTTCGTTGCTTCATGATTCAATGCTTCATGTTTCGTTGCTTCATGGTTCAACGCTTCATGTTTCGTTGCTTCATGATTCAATGCTTCATGTTTCGTTGCTTCATGATTCAATGCTTCATGTTTCGTTGCTTCATGATTCAATGCTTCATGTTTCGTTGTTTCACGCGTCTCTGCTGGTGTTTGTGTTCACGCTGTGAAGCTGTTGTTGTTTCACATGTAACCCAAAGGATCAAATAAAGATACCAAACATTACTTCTTGAGTTAATAAATCTGTAACTGGTTATTTTTTTACCAGCTTTGTTTCTCTTTTACGGGACTTTAGTTTTATCCGCCTGCAGCTCGTTTATGCGTTTAATGATCAACTAAGCGAGAAGCCTTCAAACAGGCCGCCTCTTTCTGTCACGCCGCCTCGACCACAACGGGGGGAACGGATAAAAGTGAGCAACGCTCTGCAATGACTTCACGGTGTTGTCTACTATTTACTTTCCTACAGTTTTATTTCGATATACAGATTTATTCTTTCGACGCAGAGTCCAGAAATATCACATGATCGACATTAAATCCACAAACCACCAAACGCTCCGTAGAACTCTGAATAAATAATGAAATCATCCATCTCGCCTTTTATTTCCGGGCATTTGAGACAAAAAAACAACTCATTCATCATAATAATTTCATATTTATTTCACGGTTCCTAAATTTTAATCATTTCATCATCTTCATTTTATTCAATAAATCTGTAAAAGCCTCTCAAACGTTCCCAAATGTTTTATTTTCTCCGAAAAACAGTTACATAAACACGTGAATATTAAACGTTCATTCGATGCCACAAAATAAAAGACCAACAGTCCACAAAAACACACACACACACACACACACACACACTTTATGCTTTTATTGACCAAAACCAGCTGGTTACAGAGTTTAAAAGTGAACTGTTTTCTTCTGAACTTCTTTACGTCGTTGATGACGCCAACGACCTCCAGACGGAAGATGTGTCCTCGTGTCCTTGTGTCCTCGTGTCCTCCCCCCGATTACAACCTAAGAATTATAAAACACATTGAAATGAAAATCATCACTGGCTCTTTATCGTTCTCCTTCCCTCCACGCTGCGTCAACGTGACCGATTGTCTCTCAGTCTGCAGCGCGAGTACACCATTCTGGTCCCATCACACACACACGCGCACACACACACGCGCGCGCACACACACACACACACACACACACACACACACACACACACACACGTTGTGCGGTTCTTTCACATCTTTAACAAACAGTCGGCACAAACTGAGGAAAACACAGAGTTTCTTTCTCAGATTACAAATCCTGTAAAATGTCTTTTCACACGCAGAAGAAGAAGAAGACAAAGAGGACAAAAACAAGAAGAATAAATCAAGTGTCTTCATCATTGTGTCTTCACGGCTTCCCCCAGATGTTTAGTCAGATTCTCAGAGTCTGACACCTCGGCGCCCCCTGGAGGCCCGCAGAGGAACCGCAGCCAACGGGAAGCTTGGGGGGGACATTCTGTCTGTCTGTCTGTCTGTCTGTCTCTTTGTCTCTGCACGGCGGGTCAGGTGTGAAGCCGCCGGGGACGTGAGCGACCTGCTGCGCCTCTGGAGGGCGCTGCTGCCTCAGAGTGCATCTTCAGACGGACCAGCAGGGGGCGCTGAGGGGGGCTGGTCCCTGCTGCTGGTCTGCGGAGGAGGAGGAGGAGGAGGAGGAGGAGGGAGTCAGTGCAGGTTCGGATGTGTCTTCATCCTCAGTCCCCGAGGCAGAGGAGGATTCTGGGTACGGAGGACGTATTTTGTTGCTGTTCACCTTCAGCTGACAGCGACTGACGAGGACGTTAATTTAACTTCTATTTCTACTGAAACACGAGTTTCATAGAGTTTCATAAGCAGCTTTGTGTTTCCTGCCTCTTATTTCTCTCATCAATTAACGTCTGAAATGATCAGCTTCATTTCTTATCGGAAAGTTTAAACAAATGCCGTAAAAACATAAACGAAGCATCATAAAATGACGTAATCAGCTAATAACCACTGCTCTGCTTTGACAGAGAAAACAGCACCGAGGAGTGATTGACGGGTCTGTGCTGATCCACCTTCAGACCCACGAACGCTCCCAGCTGGACCCTCTGATGAGCAGCTGATGATCAGAGTGGTTTGATGGGTGGAGATCAGCAGCTACGTCCACAGGTGGTGCTTTGTTGTTGTTGTTTTGCATTTCAAGAGACGACCTCCCCGCGTGTCTCCGCTCTCATCCTTCAGGCCTCAGCTGTTTTTCTGGTGTCTCATCAGCCGAGGATGGGGGGGGGGGGTGATTGGATCTCTCCCATAATAAAGGACGCGCTGTGTTGCAGACCGCCGACCTGCACCACATCCACCCGTCACTTCATATCATGGATTGAAGCGGTTTAATCCCATTTTGACATTGCGATATTTGAAAAATGCAGATGAAACTCATCTATTGGAAAAATATTGGGTGATTGACAGGCAGGTCCCTTAGAAAATGGGATGTTGATCCCGACGTCCAGATACAAATCTCTGTCATTGAGAAGAACTCGTCCTCTGGAAGAGTTGGTCTCCTGCTTTGAAGATACGGAATGCCGTCTCACTTTATATTCACAGCATGTGTTCAACGCTCGTCCTTCAGAAGGACCTTCTGCTTCTCGCTGAGCTCCTGTTTCCAGAAGCGACGTAAACAGACTCAGCGTGGATTCGATTCGTCTCGTTGAGGCGGATCGTCTTCATGGCCGAGAGCCTTCTGCCGTCACGAGCAAGGCACACCGCGTCCTTTGGACTCTGGGACCCGGGGGGGGCATCACACCATCTTCAGAAGACTCAATGTTCTTTTATGCTGGAAGACCTTTCGTCATCTCTGCTGAAGGTGGAAACACGCGTGAGACCGGAGACGAGACGTCAGCCAGTCAGGATTCCTCCAGCGAGAAGAGGCGTGGCCTAATGAGGTCACCGTACAGTATATCACATTACATCACAGGTCCTTTAGCAGACGCTTTTATCCAAATACTTATATATCTGAATGTGTGTGTCGCGTCACGTAGAACTTTCCTCTAATTCATCGTTTCTTGTATAAAGTCACTAACCAGTTTTTACCAAACAGGCGTTTGTTTTCTTTTTATAGTAATAATAATTAAACTTTTCAAAATAGCTCAAAATTATTATTCTAACGCTTTGAGTTTTAACTCGGTAAAGATGGCGTCTTCTCACATCGAGCTTGTTCTGAAGACGACGTGCTGACGACTCTGGGAAGAAACCGGCACAGTACCGCGCTAAAGCTAACCGCTAACCGCCGAGCCCGGAGGCCTGGAGGCAGCGAGCAGCTGAGATCTATCTGCTCCATCTGGACCGAGGCCGAGCCCCCCAGAGGAAAAAGAATACGTTCCCACCTCTTGCAAAACTCCTCTCAGAGAGGAGGGGGGGGGGGGGGTAGTTAACCAGCTGCACCTGTTGCAGCCTCTGTGGAACACACACACACACACACACACTCACACACTCACACACACACTCACAGGCTCACAAATACAAAATCATGGGTGTGAACTCGGGTGGGAAAGTGCCCGTAGGGCCAGAAACCTCTCGCGTGCCTCTGAGACCTGACGGGGCCCTGATGTCATCCTCTCGAGCGTCTGCGCACATTTTGGAAAAATTTGCCCTGCCTGACGTAACCCGGGGGGTTACCGGGGGGGGGGATGCTCCCGGGGGAAATCCCTACGCTCCGAGTAGTTCCGTCACAGAAAGCGGGCAACTTTTGAAGAAAACACCCTCCACACAATTGTGCGGTTTTATTGTTCTTGTTGCCAACCAGGGGCCTAACCCGACGGGATTGACGCTCTTCGCACTAAAACCATATATGAGGAGGGCACTGTTGTGGTTTCTCTCATGGGATTAACATTCCTCTTCTGTCTGACCTTGATTGTCCCCATCCATCTGGTCACTACGGAGATCTCCATTACAGCGAGCTCTCTGGACTCGTGCCACGTCGGCCCCGATCACCGCGTCACCGCGTCACAGCGTCTCTGCGTGGCGCCGACGGCCAGAGTGGGCCCGAAGTTGAGAGCTCCACGCGCCGTTCCACATCTGTTCGGTGATGTGGGGCAAATAGAAAATAGGTGAAATGTAAGAACATATTGGCCCCGTTCTCGTCCCCCCGTCTCACGGCCGTGTGGACATTCGACCCTCGGCAGCGTCTCCTCACACTGGCTGGGAGGTTAACGCAGAACATGTGCTCCCGGAAATCACGCGCTAATAACGGCGTTCGCCTGCATCCATCTTCAGCCGGTCGGGACCAACGTGGCAAAGAAGAACAAAACCCTTTTCTGGATCCACGTGGGTCTACCTGGGCCGGGTGGGCGGGTGGCGGTTGCTCTGGCTCGGGGTGGGGGGGTTAGAGTTCCTCGTTGGGGCGGTTGGGGTTGCTCTGGTTCAGGGTGGGGGGGGGGTTGGGGCGGTTGGGGTTGCTCTGGCTCGGGGTGGGGGGGGTTGGGGTTGCTCGTTGGGGGTTGTTGGGGTTGCTCTGGCTCGGGTGGGGGGGGGTTGGGGTGCTC